TATAGCCTTGGTCATTACGACGCAAGGCACGCCAAACTTTAACATAATTCTGTTATGACGTCATAATGTGTGTCGTGTCAAAAGTCCAATTGGCGATTAGTCTATGAGCAAGGGGGGCGGTCACTTTGGTGACGATGTCTCATAGCGATTTTTTTTAAAGGACTATGTCCCTACAATTTGAAAATGTGTGACAGCAGTGCAGCAGTGGTATCTTTCTGTGTTATCAGTCTTTCATTCATCCCCCCATCCCATTCATTTTTCCCATAGGGACTAAAACTATCAAAACAAATCAAATCAAATTGTATTTGCCACATCCGCCGAATACAACAGGTGTAGACCTTACAGTGAAATGCTTACTTACAAGCCCTTAACCAACAATGCAGTTTTAATAAAAATAAGTGTTAAGTAAAAAAATAAAAATAATTAAAGAGCAGAAGTCAAATAAAATAACAGTAGCGAGGGTATATACAGGGGGTACCGGTACAGAGGCAATGTGCCGGGGCATAGGTTAGTCGAGGTAATTGAGGTAATATGTACATGTGGGTATAGTTAAAGTGACTATGCATAGATAATAAACAGAGAGTAGCAGCAGCGTAAAAGAGGGGGTGGGGTGGGGTGGGGTGGGGTGGGGTTGGGGGACAATCCAAATAGTCCGGGTAGCCATGATTAGCTATTCAGGAGTCTTATGGCTTGGGGGTTGAAGCTGTTAAGAAGCCTTTTGGACCTAGACTTGGCGCTCCGGTACTGCTTGCCGTGCGGTAGCAGAGAGAACAGTCTATGACTAGGGTGGCTGGAGTCTTTGACTATTTTTAGGACCTTCCTCTGACACCGCCTGGTATAGAGGTCCTAGATGGTAGTGCCTTGCGGTCGGAGGCCGAGCAGTTGCCATACCAGGCAGTGATGCAACCAGTCAGGATGCTCTCGATGGTGCAGCTGTATAACTTTTTGAGGATCTGAGGACCCATGCCAAATATTTTCCGTCTCCTGAGGGGGAATAGGCTTTGTCGTGCACTCTTCACGACTGTCTTGGTGTGTTTGGACCATGATAGTTTGTTGGTGATGTGGACACCAAGGAACTTGACGCTATCAACCTGTTCCACTACAGCCCCGTCAATGAGAATGGGGGCGTGCTCAGTCCTCTTTTTTTCCTGTAGTCCACAATCATCTCCTTTATCTTGATCACGTTGAGGGAGAGGTTGTTATCTTGGAACCACACGGCCAGGTCTCTGACCTCCTCCCTATAGGCTCTCATCGTTGTAGGTGATCAGGCCTACCACTGTTGTGTCGTCGGCAAACTTAATGATGGTGTTGGAGTCGTGCCTTGCCATGCAGTCATGAGTGAATAGGGAGTACAGGAGGGGACTGAGCACGCACCCCTGAGGGGCCCCCGTGTTGAGTGTCAGCGTGGCAGATGTGTTGTTACCTACCCTTACCACCTGGGGGCGGCCCGACAGGAAGACCAGGATCCAGTTGCAGAGGGAGGTGTTTAGTCCCAGGGTCCTTAGCTTAGTGATGAGCTTTGAGGGCACTATGGTGTTGAACGCTGAGCTGTAGTCAATAAATAGCATTCTCACGTAGGTGTTCCTCTTGTCCAGGTGGTAAAGGGCAGTGTGGAGTGCAATAGAGATTGCATCATCTGTGGATCTGTTGGGGCGGCATGCAAATTGGAGTGGGTCTAGGGTTTCTGGGATAATGGTGTTGATGTGAGCCATGACCAGCCTTTCAAAGCACTTCATGGCTACAGACGTGAGTGCTACGGGTCGGTAGTCATTTAGGCAGGTTATCTTAGTGTTCTTGGGCACAGGGACTATGTTGGTCTGCTTGAAACATGTTGGTTTTACAGACTCAGTCAGGGACATGATGAAAATGTCAGTGAAGACACTTGCCAGTTGGTCAGCGCATGCTCGCAGTACGCATCGGGTAATCCGCCTTGTGAATGCTGACCTGCTTAAAAGTCTTACTCACATCGGCTACGGAGAGCGTGATCACATAGTCATCCAGAACAGCTAATGTTCTCATGCATGCTTCAGTGTTGCTTGCCTCGAAGCGAGCATAGAAGTGATTTAGCTTGTCTGGTAGGCTCGTGTCACTGGGCAGCTCTCGGCTGTGCTTCCCTTTGTAGTCTGTAATATTTTGCAAGCCCTGCCACATCCAACGAGTGTCGGAGCTGGTGTAGTACGATTCAATCTTAGTCCTGTATTGACTCTTTGCCTGTTTGATGGTTCGTCTGAGGGCATAGCGGGATTTCTTATAAGCGTCCGGGTTAGAGTCCAGCTCCTTGAAAGCGGCAGTTCTACCCTTTAGCTCAGTGCAGATGTTGCCTGTAATCTATTGCTTGTGCTTGGGTTATGTACAGTAAGTACGGTCACTGTGGGGACGACGTCATCGATGCACTTATTGATGAAGCCAGTGACTGATGTGGTGTACTCCTCAATGCCGTCAGAAGAATCCCGGAACATATTCCAGTCTGTGCTAGCAAAACAGTCCTGTAGCTTAGCATCTGCGTCATCTGACCACTTCCTTATCAACCGAGTCACTGGTGCTTCCTGTTTTAGTTTTTGCTTATAAGCAGGAATCAGGAGGATATAATTATGGTCGGATTTGCCAAATGGAGGGCGAGGGAGAGCTTTGTACGCGTCTCTGTGTGTGGAGTAAAGGTGGTCTAGAGTTGATTTTTCCTCTGGTTGCACATTTAACATGCTGGTAGAAATTAGGTAGAACGGATTTAAGCTTCCCTGCATTAAAGTCCCTGGCCACTAGGAGCGCTGCCTCTGGATGAGCGTTTTCCTGTTTGCTTATGGCCTTATACAGCTCATTGAGTGCAGTTTTAGTGCCAGCATTGGTTTGTGGTGGTAAATAGACAGCTACGAAAAATATAGATGAAAACTCTCTTGGTAAATAGTGTGGTCTACAGCTTATCATGAGATACTCTACCTCAGGCGAGCAAAACCTAGAGCTGTTGTTTACAAATATACACAGACCGCCATCCCTTGTCTTACCGGAGTCAGCCGCTCTATCCTGCCGATGTAGCGTATATCCCGCCAGCTGTTTGTTATCCATGTCGTCGTTCGGGATGTTCAGGTCAACAAAACGTTGACCTTTGACCTCTAGGGTACATATATCATAATTACCTGTATAAATTGCTTTGAAAAGGAAACCCTGATACATTTTAAACTTTGACAAGTGGTTCTGAAAGGTCATGAAATTACCTTTCAAATGGTATATACCATAACCAACTTTGAATGCACCAGCTAACTATTGTTTAAAAATCACCCAAATTGTGCCATTGACATTAGAATGTTGGAAGGTTAGCCATAGAATTCCCTGTGTAGCTCAGTTGGTAGAGCATGGCGCTTGCAACGGCAGGGTTGTGGGTTCGATTCCCACGGGGGGCCAGTATGAAGAAGAAAAAAAAATGTATGCACTCACTAACTGTGAAGTCGCTCTGGATAAGAGCGTCTGCTAAATGACTAAAATGTAATGGGGGCAGCTATGTTTTGGGATTATAACTTTGTCTGACCAGCCAAAGGATGGCACAGTGACATCTAGCCATTTGATTACAATAATCTGTTGACACTCATACTCTGAGAGGACCCTGTTGATATTTTCTGTCCTGTCCTGTGAATACAGACAATGCTCAGACAGAGTTAATGGGCTTTACCATTCAAATAAGTCGGACAATGTTGTTTTTGTCCACAAGGTGTCACTTGTGAAGTCAGATAATGTTGCTTTTGCCCACAAGGTGTCAGTGCTAGACACAGTTTCAGAAAGAATGAACCCATTCAACCCAGAGAGGAAGTATTGTGTAAATTGGTCAGTAAGGCAAAGGAAGGGTATTCAGGAACCCAGTCTATTGGTCGCACCCCCCTACAGTTCGGTTTTCTCACAATCTGATTGGAGGACGGTTGTTACCAGGTGTGGAACCACAGTTACTTGATGGAAGTGTGTGTTTATGCAATACTGGATTTCCAACCTTCAAGGATGACTACTGGGCCATAAACTATTCCAGATAAGGCATATATTAGACCTTCATTAGACATATCAGCATTATTAAATCAGCCCAGGGACTGACAACACCAGAGTTATCAATTGATACAGGAGTAAAAATGCAATGTTACTTACCAGTATTACAGGGCAAAAACCAATTGCCCAAGATCTTGTAAGTACAGAGGCAAGTATATGAGTGCCTATACTTCCCAGCTGCCTCATAGCATTGTTTGGATTAGAGCTGCTAAATGGGACAAAACATCCACTAAGCCAACAGGATGTGGTCCAGTCAGAGCAGTGGTAAGTCAGCACATTGAGCAGGAAGTGTTTCAGCTGACCGTCACAGACACAAACCCACACAGGATGTGGCAAGACACCACTCTATTCCTCTACCATAGCACTAGGGGAGTGACTGGAAAGGAATGCTGACTAACAACTAGAGTGCTGTTCTGATTTGTCATGTTTTTCAGAAAAAGAGGACCATCTTGTTATTTTCAAAGGTCACGTTTTGGGCAATGGGAGAGTTTGAGACAAACACCAGTTAATCATCTTTTTCTTTATTATAAATCTGTATTAAATAATATGAAAAGTTAAAGAGTAAGTAATTATCACAGTATAGATTACTATCCACGTAGATTGTTTTACAAATTACAACATTTCCCAAAATTAATAAATGCAGTTCAGAGTACAATACAAATACATTCACATAGATATTATGTACAACTATACATACAAAAAAAGACAGGTGAAATGGGTAAGACAAACTTCATTACAAAGGCTTTGGCAAAAGAGTGCATACATAATTTCATAAAATATCTGAAAAGTAAACAAAAAAAAAAGCATTTCTTCAACAACAAAAAATGAGCAGTAGAGGAAAAAAAAAGAGTCCAGTGCATGTCTTTAGAAAATGTCCATGAGTAAAATGGCAGCCTTGTGCGCTTGGCTGTCCCTATCCCTGTCATGGTTTGGGGGTTTTGGGTAAGATGTCACTAGTGGGTAGTGTTGGGCTCAGTCTAGTTTGAGGCAGGTACCAGCATACTGAGGGTGAGTGGGGCGGGGTTTGACGGCGGTGGCTTGGGAACGGCCATTTTGTTGAGGCTGCGCACCTCGGCCTGCCAGGAGGGGATCTTCTTGGTGGTCATGTGACGGCGGGCGTGTTTGGTCAGGTGGTCGCTGCGCATGAAGCGCCTGTCGCACACGGGGCACACAAACTTCTTCTCGCCCGTGTGGGTCCGCCTGTGGCGCGAGAGCTCGTCGGAGCGTGCAAACTTCTTGTCGCAGCCCTCCCAACTGCAACTGAAGGGCTTCTCACCTGAGAGAGAGGGAGACAAAGAGAGATAGTGAGTGAGCAAGTCAACATACTTTTGTCACCAGCAAACCCGCACATGCTTCGAATCAGATAAATTACCTCATACTCTTCAGTTAAAATCGTGATACAATATCAATATCCTAATATTTCATCCCCATAAATGTCACGTTCTTTCCCTCTCATTCCCACTCATCCACGAGAAGCACTCTTTTCTCTTGTACCTGTGTGTGTTCGGAGGTGTGCCTTAAGGTGGGAGCTCTTGAAGTAGGTCTTCCTGCAGCCGGAGAAGTTGCACACATAGTTCCTCCGGCGGGAGAAGTCCATCTTGGTGGCGCCGCAGGGTCCGGTGGGCACGTAGACCGGGGCGGGGGCCAGAGGTAGCAGCTTAGTGTGGCCCAGGGTCATGACAGTCTGTGGGGAGCAGTGGGGGGCCTGAGAGACATGGGACTGGGGGAGAACCAGCATCACCGTGCCCTGGGGCATAGCCTGGCCCATGAGGAAGGGCTGCTGCAGTGTCCTGTTAGGACCAGACTGGGGCAGGATGGATTTGGGGGTCCTCGAGGTCTGCATCGGGCCCTGGATGAACGCCGAGATCATCCCCGATTGGTTACTCACCGGGAACATCTGGCAGATGATTGGCGGGCTGGAGGTGGGGGGCGGGGAGAGGCATGTGGGCAGGCTATTTTGTGGTTGGGTGTTAGCAGGAAGGTGGGAGTGGCTCTCCTTACAGTAGATAGCCTGTGGCTCTTCCTTCTCAGTCTTGTCTGGCACTTCCTTGCAGGAGGAGAGGAGGGCGGGGTTGGGTGTGAAGGGGACCGATGGAGGTGGAGGAGTGATGCTCTGTTCAGCCTTTGCTGTGTGCTGTTGACAGACCACCAGCTCGGAGGCTCTGTGTTGCTCTGTGGAAGGTGCTGGAATGTTCTGGCAGAGGTATGTGTCTGCGGTGTGGCGGATGACACTGGTTGCCATGGCTCTGCAGGGTGGCAGTGGTGGGGTCTTTCCATTGGTTGGGGACTCTGAGATGGACGCCATGGGCGGTCGCAGGACCCCACAGATCCTTACAGAGAGACTGGAGGTGGGCCGGCTCAGAGGGGAGGTGATGGTGTGGATTGTGGTGGAGGTCTCAGAAAAGCTGGGGCTGTGTGGGGGAGTCATACACTGTAAACCAAAGAGACAGAATTAGTGTGTGTGCCCAGGAAGTAGAACAACCACTGTATGTGGTGTACTAATACATAAATCCTAGGTTGGGTGTGTTCAGTTTCAAAATGGATGTTCAATGCAGCTATTGGGAGAGATAAGTGGCCACATACACTAAACTAATGACTACTTAAGAGCTGGGTGGCTGTAGAACAGCGATTTTTACAACCAGCAGCTGAGAGAGATGAGCAAGGGTTGAGGTTCAAAATCTCCTTATCTCCTACCTGCCACCTGTGCAGCAACCTCCCTAACCCCTCCAACCCCTATAAACCGTCGCAAAGTTTTCCTGCGATAAAGACACTATCTCCATGCTAAGTGCCACAAAACCCAGGAGTTTACACAGTAAGTAAAAGCTGGGACTCCAACTGTATTTACTAATCAAACACGGCTCACAGATGTTTCTTAGTGATTGCTGTTTTGGGGTGTGTGGTGGTTACAGTTGCCAAGAGAGGATGCACTCTTACCAAGGAGGAGAGCGAAACAAAGTCCTTTGGGGGCTCCAGTGGGTCCGGAGGCAGGAGGGAGTCGCAGGAGTCTGAGGCAGGGCTAAGGGGTCTGGGCTTGCAGGGGCTGGGGCGGTGTTGGCCCCAGGAGCTCATGCAGACCAGAGCCTCTGCAGCCTCCAGGTCTGTGTACTCCAGGCTGCAGCCTGGGGACGACTGCTTACTGTCATGTCTCCTCCTCTTCAGATAGGAGCCACACTGGTCCATCACTATCCCATTCGCCTGGGGAGGAGAACAAAGGGAGAAAAGAAGGAAAGAACATAAGGTCTGATGATGATCTATCATGTAATAGAAGACTGGTGAGTTACCATAGGGACGAATCACCACAAAAACTGGGAAATGTGTAAGAGAGACCCAATCAAGACCATACAGCTAGATAAACATTAGCATACCAAGGGAAGCGTCCAAAATTACATCAAATTAACGTCTGAAGAGTTTATTTTCTCACCAGTCATTGGCTTAATGCTCAAGCGCCTGTTGCTTAGATGTTTGTCTCAGAGGGCAGAGCGAGTGGGCTTGAGACTACATCCCATCTGCCCTAGGCTACACGCCAAGCCACCTCCCATATAGACCTGCTAGTGACGTCTCCCAACCACTAGCCACGTGAGACCCCCATGCACAGGGGATGTAACCCAGTGTGAACACTGCATCAGGAAGTGCCTTTTCTGCACTGACACTATCAGTGTTTCTATGGCAGGGTTCCCCCCCCCCACACATAAGAGTGTAAAAACACCAGCAAATCAGCTCCAAGTGATTAATTTTGGAAATATCTTCAAAAGTATTCTTGCGGTCAATTTGCAGTCTACAAATTATTTGTAATAATGTTCCGGTCCCCTGATCATCCGCTGAATAAGAAAATCGTCCGCGTCGCTGAATCTAGTTGATGATCCCCGTCCTATGGCCACTCCCCAGATAAAATAATGTGACCAGTTCAACATAGTGAAAAAGTAGCCCAACAGTCAATCATTGGTAAGTCATTGGATAACATAATTCGATGGTTTCAATTTACCAGCTGTAATAACAAATAACGCTCAATAAAACAATTTTAAAATCTTAATAATTTAGAACTGACATGACTCATTTATCAATTAAATAATATTGTAACCTAAAAAGTCAAAAGTGCTACTAATAAACTGGAGCGACAAACAAAAACAAATACAGTTAGCAGCCCACTCATTATTCGAATGTTGGACGTTATTCATATGAAATAACACGCTTTCAATAATAATAATCTTCTTACCCCACATGAGACTTCAAATTCTGAACATTTTCGTGAAGGCATTGTTGAGATATATTTTATTTCAGTTTAGTGTCCAGCCGACAAGGAACAAAAAAGCGAGGCCACTGCGCCCGCTCAGTAAACTGGCTGTTGAGTTCGTCTTTCACTAGGTCCTCTCTCAGCTGTGTAAAACATGAGGAGAAAAAAAGGAAAACAACATTCACAACACACTGGCGGGAGGCAACATGCCACCAATGGAAAAACAAATGTGTGTGAGACATTAGCCAATGGCAGGCGAGATGACGCGTGATCAGTGCATGGTCGCCGGACGATTGGAGGAAATAGGGTGCGTGGCTGTTGGTGGGCGTGCAGGGGGAGTCATCGGTGTCAGAAAGAACCTGATGAACTGCAAGTCTGAACTAGGCGAAAGGTCGTACTGCCACATGAGGGGAAATCTGAGTTTCTCCCATGTGTTTTTGGCGTACTTTTTTTTCTCCAGGTTATCTTTTAGAGTTGGACTATGAAGGCTCATGTTCTTTGTAAGTTAGAGTAGCTTGTCAACTGCTAATTATTTGTGCTTGTGAAATGTAGTAAAACGCCATGCTCTATTTTACTCTAATGATTTCCCACCAAAATTATGTGCATTCCAAGCTACAACATTGTTTCATTGTATCAGATCCTAGTTATGTTCATGCTCTATCTGCTACTTATTTCTACTTATAATATATATGTTACTATGTATTGCATGTTTAGCACCTGTTACATTTTTTTTTTAAAGTTATGTTTTCAAATACTACATAAGACCAACATGAACTGCAGAGGCCTCAGGATGCCTAAAGCATAAAATATATAACATAAAATCAACTATTATTCTAAAGAATATTGGAAATTCAACACCCCACAATATTAAACACATTGTTCGGTTATATTGGAATTAAAAAGTGTTTTTAGACATAGGATAGACCACTTTAGATCCATACCCTCCCCCCTCAACCCCAAATGTTGGGCTATGGTCTTGAACTCCATGACTTCTACTGTGGTTGACCCTGTAAGACAACAAATTTCACTGCACCTATTCGGTCGGTGTATGTGACAATAAAAAATCGTAATGAATTCTTCCATTGTAAACAACATCTTTCAAGGCATTCTAGGGTGGAGCTTGTGATCAACCTCACTTCTCTGTTTTTGTCCATAGAGGCAAACATTGAGCCCCCACCCTTATTTGTTATGGTACTGAAAACAAAGTATGAAAGATATATCATCTCAAAACGACAGGATGTTTATAATTAAGCAATAAGGCCTGAGGGGTGGTATATGGGTAATATACCATGGCTAAGGGATGTTCTTAGGCAGGGGCGCAACTTTCACTGGGGACGGGGGGGACATGACCCCCACACACATTCTGAAGTTGCATTTTTGTCCTCAGAGCGGTCAGGTCAGTTTTCCGGTTTCAGCCAGCTGGATTTAGGACCGTACGGACACCACAAAACAGAGCTTGCAGACAGGCTGTGTGAAGGCAAAGCTTCTGAAAGGCTGCCGTATAGGACCAGCACGGGAGAGATGAACAGAGGCAGCTGGTGTCTATTTTGCGCTTTTTCTCTGAGTTTTAAAAGCAAGCAGAGCAGAAACTGGCTACTCTTTAGTTGACTGATCTAGCTGGCAAGGTAACTGATGTTTGACAGAAAAAAATTATTTATTTCCAGTGCTGAGCTAGTAGTAGTAGCTAATGTTTCATCCCCGCTCGACTGAAGTGAACTACTAGCAGCTAGTTAGCTAGCTAGTAGCTATCACAGAAAGTTCAACTCTAGCTAGCCTCTAGCTATCTGTCAGGAAGCAGTATCTAACAGCTGTTGTGTATATGTAAATGTTTTGTAGCCTTTGTTTTTTTCCAGTTTCAACATATGGGGGATTTATTATTCTCCTAATTGATGGGATGAATAGCTTAGAAGGAATGCATTAACGATAAACATAGGTTTGTACTATACTGATATAAATTGTTTCACATAACAGGCTGTGATTCATGTAAGGAACGATAGGGGCTAGGATGAGATAAGACTTGTATTACTCACAGATACGAACACTGCCCCTTTGTGATCTGTGAACCATCCTTGGACGTAGGAATGGTGTCTAAGGGAGCTGGCTCTTCTCACTATGACAGGTTGTTATGATAAACGTATGCCTGGAAACAGGGATGCGCTAAGAGGCGGGGGACTAGCCTGTGCGCCAACGGATTGGCTGAGTAAGTCTAAACCACGCTCAAGCGTCTACTCTGATTGGCCAGCAGAGAGGTGGGAACTCTCTCTCTGTCAGAGTATTTGAGGAAGAACATGTAACAATGGATTTAGTTCTCTGAATGCCCTGCGAGGTATTTCAAGGAGCCCGTATATACGAAACATCATATTTACCATTGAAGGTTTTATATACCAGATTTACCATTGAAGGTTCCTAATACCAGATTTGAATTGGCGCAACTTTGACAAACAGAAGTACATTTGATGATGTACCATTGTACCATTAGCTAGAGCTAGCCAAAAGTAGGCTAACGTTCCTCTAGCGCACTAACTTTAGCTATTATTTTTGCCTCAATCACACTAGACCTGAATCAAATGATGAAACCAGCAGCCAAATGATTGAAGACAGATATACAGAATTTCTTTCTGCGTAAATTTATTTTTTATTAGTCAGTATAGCAACGAAACATTATTGATCAGTCAGTTTCCCTGACTAATTCTCTACTTTTCACACTGACACAGTATAAACAGCTCAACAGGCTTCACTGTCATGTTACACAGTCAGTACACAACACTATGCTCATCATGTCTTAGCAGGATCAGATGGTGACAGGTGTCCGTCCCTGCAGGGTCAGACAGCCAGGGAAGACCAGTCTACGGAGCTCAGGTGAATTTTGCAGTATATTCTAACAATCAGTGAACGGATACAAAGTTCCATCTTGAGTTGATGGGTAGGCTACAGTCTGGGATCTGGGAACAATGGTCATTTCAATTATTGAACCATTGATTATTTTCATGGATAATGTATAAATGTACACCAAGGTCATTCTTTGTCATGCCTCATCTGAGCAGATGATGACAGGATGGTGAGTCTCATCAGGGTCAGGCAACCAGGGAAGACCAGTCTGAGACAGTGCAGAGGTGAATTTGTGCAGATACAACCCTTTATTTTCTATGTGCAGCAAATACTGGACAAGCAAGAAGCTTCAAAGATTGAAACTATTTTAAGGCAGTCTGGCAAACCTCTAAAGTTGATTTCCAAACTGTATCAACGGTTGATAGAGGCTTTTCCCGATGACACAAAACATGTAAAACTAAACGTGAGGAAGACCTGGGAGACACTATTGATGATGATGAATGGATACAGATATGTTAGAATGCCCAGTCATGTTCCTATAATCTCAGACATAAATTACTGCAGTTTAAGACCATACATAGAATGTACTATATGCCAGTGAAACTGAATATGAATAAATGTAATTCTTCTGCTGGAGCTGTAAAACACAAAAGGGGACATATTTGCATAAGTTATGGTCTTGTGGAAGCTGGCTGAATTCTGGCAAAGAGTATGTTCTTTTATCTCAGCATGTCTACAGATTCTCCCTTCTCCCTGTTTTTGTTTGTGTGGAAATGTTGATACTGGAGACTGTTATCAGAAGAAACTGTGTAGCCTAGCATTTATAGCGGCTAAGAATTGCATTGCCATTAGTTGGAAGGTTGGTTATCCTCCCACAATGGATGGGAGACATGTCAAGTTATGTATCACTAGATTTTTATTTATAACAAGATTAAGGGTGTACTGTGCAACTTTCATAAGGTCTGGATGCCTTATATGGATACTGTTTGGGCTGGCTGGGCGGTCTGGCTGAAATTTGATATAGAGGATGTCTTAATAAAGACATTCAAAAGTATTTGTGCATTATTTGTAAGAGTTGTTCATTTGTTAGGCTATTGGTTAAAGGTGCAACACAATATTGATAATTGAATTATCATTGATCTAGTTCAGTCTTATCACATATTTAATAATTATCTTTTACCTAGCTTGATGACTGTGGCCATTTTTGTTTAGTTTTTGTTGTTCTAAATAGAGAAGGCTAGAATGGCCATGGGTCATATTAGATTGTGTAGAAATTAGGGATGCAAATTTCGGTCAATTTTGCTGCCGACTAACTGACCCTCATTAACCCGTCAACAAACAGAATTTTTTTCCCGAAACAATAAAATGACGTGACCAACAGAATATACTATCAGAGATCTTTATATAATTGTCACGACTTCCGCCGAGGCTGCCTCCCCTCCTTGTTCGGGTAGGTTTCGGCATTCGTCGTCACCGGCTTACTAGCTGCTATCGATCCATTTATCATCACTCCACTTGTCTTGTCTAATTAATCACACACACCTGGTCCTTATCCCCAATTAGTCTTTGTATAAGTGTTCCCTCTGCTTCCTTGTCTGTGTGGGTGATTGTTTGTTGTGAGCTGTGTGTTGCTCGGTTGAGCTACCCTTACCTTGATGTTGCCAGGGTAGTATTTTCCCCTGTGCCTGAGTGTTGTTGTCGCATTCTTGCGCAACTGTTTATCGATGGAATAAACTCTTTGGATGCGTATTACTCTCCTGCGCCTTACTCCTTCTATCACATGCATCACAGAATCACCCACCCGCTATGGAGTCAGCGGGAGAAGAGCGCATGCCTGAAGTCGTGGCACGGGTCCAGGAGCACTCCACGATGCTGGCCAGCTTGGGGGAAGCGATGGATCAGGTTCTTCAGGTCGTCCAACGCCTGGAGAGGACCAGACCCGATCTGTCGAGACCAGCTGGCCAACTGGATCCAGCCACCTACACCCCAGCACC